AAACCCAACACCACCACCAACTTGTCGATGAATCGGATGACGCGGAAGAAGAAGACATGGTTCCCGAAACTCAACCAACACCACCACAACAAAAAAATTAATTTTATTTAATAAAAAAAAAAGAGTGAGGGAAGGGTTTCCCATCCATTCCTTGGCTTTTAGGTGAGGGAAAGGAGAGTGAGGGAAAGAGGGGTATGACCCACCAAAAGTGAGGGAAGCTTCCCTCCCACTCCTTCCAGTCTTAAGAATGATAAATTTTGCTTAAACAGCCTATTGTTAGGATTATATACTATTAAGGGAGGAGGGAGTCATTCCCTCCCAACCCACTGAACCCACTGCCACATCACTTTTTCTCTTTTGTTTTTCTTCATCTTTCTGAACCCACAACACACGGAAATCATATCTTTTTGAACCCACTCAACCTACTTAATTAAAAAAAAAATACAAAACAATCAAATGTAAAATCTTAATTAGCAATAGAGTTATCGGCGGTACCACTCCCGCTTCAACGAGTAGGTTGATTGGTTTCACTAACCCACTTCATTATCTCTCTCTACTTTCTCTTTTTTATTTTCTCTTGTACCATGTGTTTTAAAACTTGTATCTTAGTTGTTTTGTATTTTTTTTAATTGAGTGGGTTCAAAAAGATAAGATTTCCGTGTGTTGTGGGTTCGGAAAGATGAAGAAAAATAAAAGAGAAAAAAGTGATGTGACAGTGGGTTCGGTGGGTTGGGAGGGAACGACTCTCTCCTCCCTTAATGAGAGTATGACACTAAGCATAAGAAACTTAATGGCTGTTTAATATGTCTCTGATTTAGTTTGGTAATAAGTTGGATACTACAATTAAAAACCTTAAATATATGTGTATGTGATTAATATGAGTTTAATATATTGAAAATAAAACAAAAAATAAAATTAAGAAAAAAAATGCAAAAAAGGTTTGGAAAGATGTCAGGAATGAGTTCATACTTATTTTAGAATTTAGTGTTCAGAGAAAGAGAGGGAGGATGAGCAGGGCAGAGGAGCAGAGGGGCTGGGGCGGTGGGGCCGGGGCAGAACGTTTGCGTGCAAAAGTTACATGTCTTTTGGCTTTTAGCCTTCGTCACGTCACATTTATCACTTTCACCTATTCTTTTTATTCATACTACTCTTTTTTACATAATATTAAAATAATGTAAATGTTCAATAAATACACTCGATGAATATAATATTACATGGGATATTTAATTTACAAAGATAGAGACGCATATCTAAATTATGCCAAGTAAAAAAAGTGAAACGGAGTTAGAGATTTTTAGGAGTATGAATAAAAATGTATTAGACGATTTGATTTCTGATGTGAATAATATGAAGACATTGGTAAAAGTACAAACGAAAAGATAATGATTTGATATGAAAAATTTTGATGCTCTGCAAATTAAATCACTTTCCTATTAGAATAACGAAACAATAACTAGACTTTTACTGCCTCAAAATAGCTTTATTTAGCCAAGTAAGTCCATATGATTTGTGTAAATGTGTCGGCTACAATTTCCTGTAAATTAACAAGATTGATTAAGAATGAGGTGTGTTGTGTTTATCATTGCGTCATGATGTCATGAACAAGTTAGGTCAATGTATTTGGATTTGATTCGATCAAAAGCTTAGTAAATAATAAAATATGATACAAACTAGAATAGCTAAAGCTATCTTTTATTAATAGAAGAGAATAAACATGATTCTAAAAATATCTACAAAACCATGTTCAATAATACATCTTTGACTTATAAGTATAAATAATACACACATCAGGCTCAAGAAAATTCGAGTCCCATCCTTGTAAAAACAACTTTATATTTTTTTTAAAACAATTTTCTATACCAACTTCAACTAAAGTGACTTCAAGGTTGTATTGTATTGTACTCATGTTCTCATTTCGGGTGCATTGAGCTATTGGGCCTTGAACAAAGACTCATAAGTTGGTCACGATTAATATACGAAAGCCCATACAAAGATTTATATAAAACTATCAAGATAAGTTGGTCACGTGCCTCATAAGCACATAGAATACAAAATATTTCTAACATGCCCACTAATCAATTTGGCATGAATATCCTCTGATTATGTCATCTTATGATACCTACAAAACAAAATACAACTTCATCTCTAGTTGTCTTGAACATGCACATAATTTCAAAGAGCATAATTGTCATATCAAAAAGGGTTAAGCACAAAAATAGTCAAAACATCAACAAAATACTATAAAATGAAGTATATGAACAGAATAGAAATAATTGATATATGTATGTTACAAGTACCTTAAACATTTCAGATCCATTGTGGCACACTAGCGGATGAATATCCTCTGATTATGTCATCTTATGATACCTACAAAACAAAATACAGCTTCATCGCATGATGTCTTGAACATGCACAAAGAGAAATCTAGATAGGCCATCATATACATAATACCTTAAATCAACAATAGTATTTTCATATCATCGTATTTACTATCATCAATAATGGTAGACAGGAGGAAATATCAGGCAACCAAATAGAATAGTAAAAATGTAAAATAACACATCAAAAATCAAATGAAGAAACAACTTTTATAGCAAGACATTATTAGCATTATTGTATTTATATAGCCTATGAACTGTATTTGTTATTGTTGATTTTATTTGTATTTAAATATGTTTTTCCATCTCCTTTTCAATGAATGTAAATACTGATTTCTCATTGATATCAAAATCGAAGGTTACCTGTTCAACTAGATCCGTCATTAACAGTCTGTTTTTCAAGGTTGAGAAACTATCTCCAACCACCGTCGACCAACTCCGCTCGTCTACCGCTTTCTACCATCGCTACCAACTGCCAACACGACCTAATGCCTCGTCTCTTCCTCACATAGTCGTCGCAGCTCCTCCATACTCTCCGATGCCCATCGTCTTCATTGTTTTCACCACCGCCAGCCTCCCTCATACTCACCTCCGGCCACCATGGCTGTCCTCACCACCTGCTGCCGTCGCAGCCTCCTTACAGAATCGACCAAATCGATTTACCATCTCCTCGATCCAATACAGGTGGTGTGAAAAAAAAAAAACATTGTCAAACTCAGAATGCGGCGGAAAAATATAAATAAGAAATACGTGTAATATTTCGTTAGAGCCCTAAGGCCCACCCACCACATTATGTGTCGAGAATAATAAAAACTAAAATATACTATATTTCTAGTAAATTATTTATTTCTATAAAAAAAATATATATATATTAGAAAGGCCTTGTAACCAATTTTATTTGACTTGTTTAGGATAATATTTTTCTAATAATTACTGGTGATTTTATCTTATTATGAACAAGTCAAACATATACCAAAAAAACATGATTATCTAAATATGAACAAAAACCAAAGTTTTGTTACCCATTTTGGTAACATCGGGTTGTTTATACTAAATACAAATAGTCATAAGACCCTCTATTTGACATGAAATCGGGTCATCAAATTTGGATCATAGATTTGGAGTATGTGTTGTTAGCGAGTTCCCTACTTGATTTATAGTTGCCATTAAAGAACAAAACTGTTAAAACTGCCCCATTAAATGTGCATTGGGAGTAGGCTACGTCGATTAAGTTAGATCGATGTATGAGTGGATGGTTTCTCTAGGATGGAGAGAACCGTCTTGGTGGCTAGATTGTATGTACATTGGAGGCTCATTTTTTAGAATGAGTGATCATCATCATGGGAGGAGGAGGATTATATTTATAGAGTTAGGTCAAGGGACATTTAGGTTAAACATTGGGTCAACCCAGTTCTGCCCTAACTAGTTGGGGGCTAGGTTGTGCTGCCACATAATGTTATCGGGCGGTGCTGTCATACAGTGTTGTCGTGTCGTGCTCCATATCTATGATCCAAATCCGACACCAAGACCCGATGACCCTGATTCCATGTCACATCAGTGGGTTTTATGACTACTTGCACTTAACATATAGAGTTTGGTTTTTATCGATATTTAGATAACCATGTTTTTTCCATGCATGTTTGACCAGTAATAGGGTAATTACCGGTAATATTACTTTTTCAAAAAAAAATATTACTCTATTTTAAACCGGTCAAACAAATTTATTGGTTAAACGTGTATGAAAAAAACATGGTTACTCAAATATGGACAAAAACTACAGTTCGTTACCTCTTAGGTCATTAACCCTAATAGAAAATATGGAGTTTGACTTTTCAAACGGTCCTTGTGATCACACGATAAATTAAACTTTGATTTAATTTTTTAAACCGATAAGCATTTCTTTATTGACAATAATTTTAAATAAAAAGATAAAGTAGTCATTTATTTACTTCATATAGATTAGTAGTCTAAAGAAGAAATAGATATTTTTTTGTATACAATGTTTTATCTATTCATAATGAAAAAATAGATCGATCCGTAGATAAGTTGGACAAATTTATTTTGAGTTATTACCAACACTTCGAAAAAAAACCGTATAAAGGAAAAAAAAAAGCATGTAAAGGAAAAATCTATTCACAAAATGAAGCCTGAATGGTTGAAAATTTTAAAATCTTAACGGCGAACACTGATCATCCAACTATGTTAATTCTAACATGCTTATTGTACAAAGTAGTATCCCAATCGGTGATTCCCTAAAGTCGAACACATGATGTCTACCATGGCTACAAGTGTTCGTTGAGGATAGGACTTACATTTGCATTAGCATGATTCACGAGCAGTGGATTCATCCATATTATGACTTGGAGAATATTGCAGCATATTTATAAAATAAATGCCAATGTTTATACAGGTATTTGAAAAAGGAATGGAACAAGAGTTGTGTTTTATATAGTAAACGGAATTTTATAACAAGGTCTTTGTGGGACAAGTTATGTTTTATGTTATTACTTATTATTATACGTGTGTTCTCACTCACATGTAGTTTCATATTCCTAACTAAAAACCTTTATAATGGAAAAAAATATGTACATACAAAGGTAGTAAGTAAGTAACCTACTAGATCACAAGATCACTATTTGTACTATTTTGACAATTTTAATAATAAAATCTTGTTTGCTAATAATGCATAAAGCTTAACAAGCTCCTCCTTAATCATGAAAAGCACAGAGGCTGCAAATACACTCTGTACAATCTTTGTGCTCATTCCTTTATAGAAGCTTGAAAATCCTTCATAATGAATCATCTTTACAATTGCATCCATCGTACCTATGTTGCAAATACAATTTATATACCCAATTATACCATCATTCTACTTTTAATTTTCTTTTTATTATTTTGTATTTTAAACTTTAAACCAACAACTTAATAAGAACATACCCGAATATCTCAACGAATTGTTTGTACTGATTTCTTGCTTTGCTTGAAGTCTCGACTGAAATTATTCAAGAAATAGCAATGTACTTTCATTTATATATTTAAAATTAAATCAAAATTTAAATAATAAAAATATGGGATTACCTTGACAACTAACAAGGGGTATGTTGTCACAGTTGCTCCAAGTTTTGCAATTGCACCTACTAAGAACACCTGTTCACACACACCAAAAAAAGAGAATTTTGAAACAACATAAATTGGAATAATCAATTAATTAAATAAGATTGTTGTTTTACCTCGAGAGCAGAAACTTTAACTGAACTCTGTTTTTTATCAGCTCGTTTCTTTTTCAAGTGCTTTATAGAGCTTTCATAGATCATGAACTGGATTGAGGGATTGCACACCTGGCATGTAATTTTCATCCTTTTTTTTTAGCAAAAATACAAGTTTATTCCAATACTAATATGCTTTGAGGATTAAATGATTAATTAACCTAACCATGATCATAGTTGGGATGATGCCTTTCCAAAATCCTCTTATTCCAGCTTCATTATAAACCTCATATGCCTACAAATGGCAGAAAGTCAAACCTTTGACTTAAGGAGACATGATGTTGATTAAAAACATTAAAACATGGATATGTTAAGATTTAAGATTTAAGAATAACAACCGCTTGAAATGTCCCATAGGGATTAGGCTTCACAGAATCAAGTTCACGCAACTTATCATGCAATGAAGAACCTATGAATCCACTTTCTCTAATCAGAGCTTCCTTCTTTGCTTCTAGAATCTTCTGTTCTGCTTGAGTATGTGTCTAAAAGACACGTTGAAAGGTTAACTATAACATTTGAGTAAGTTGTTATTTTGTAAAAGTACCTGCATACGTGTCACAAGAACCCATATTGGGTTTGTAAACAATACATTCAACGCCCTGAAATAAAAGGAATTTGTTACTATAGAAACTATAACTTGTAGATTTAAATAACATATCAAACACACTGATAATAGAATTTGTATAAAATGATACTAAAGAAAATGTTACCCTGCTAAAGCTGCCACAACAAGCCATGACAACATGCCAACTGTCCCATCCCCATGACCCTTTCTTTTATTGGCAGCTGCAATAGATTCAGCTTTGTTTTTAAATACCTGGTAAAAATAGTAATAAATCCCCTGAAAAGAAACAAAAGATTGTTATGTTCATGTAAGATGTAACAAATGACATTGGAGAGAAATAACAAGCATTAAGCACTTGAAGTGTTTTTGAATCCATGCCAAATGAATTGAAGTGTAACCTGTGATGTAGCAGTTCCAAGAAGAGAAGGCTTAAGGCCACTGTATAGTCCTCCAAGACCTTCACTTCTGATAACCTGTTGTCATACATGACACAACCATTGTTATTGTTGAAGAATAAGTCAAGTCAGCAGTTCAAAGTTAGGTGCAGAGGTTTTATGTGAAAAGACAAAGGGGTTGAAACGATTATGTTAATAAGTTTGAATGTAGAGGACATGATCTCACTCATACAAGACCTGAATTGGCATATGCAGTTTGTCTTCTAACAAAGTTCATGCAATTGTTTAACTAAACAACAGGATCCTTTCATATATCGCTCGAACAACATCTTATGGAATTTGGTATTCAAGGCAAGAAAATTGAATTGATAGGCTACTCTGGTAGTAATTGGGCATAAAACGAAAATTACTTCATTATTGGATTGTGACCATAGAAGGAAGAACAGGTTATGATGAAAAGCAAAAGATAAACCTGAAGCATTTGAACAAGTGTGCCACCAGACGATCCTTGAGACTGAGATTTCTTTGCGACTCTCTCTGTTTGTTGGCGCGTGTTGACCTTGAAATTACAAACTGTGGTTGTTGGTTACTAGTGTCTATCAAATAGGAAGTAGACAGAGAGGGTAAAAGGGAAGGAATAAGTACCGATTGAAGAGGATAGGTGATGATTTGAGCAATGATACCTCCGCCGGCTCCGGCAAGGCCATTCACGACGGCGTTCGACATTCCTCTCCGTCGATGATTTCTGTGAGAGTAGAAAACTAAATATTGCTTCTTTCCAGTTCCAGGTGCTGTAGTATTTAGCAATCACAGAAGAAAGGGTTTGTGAGAAATTATCATGTTATCATCATTCTTCAACGATCAGCATATACACAATGAGTGGTGTGTAACAGAAAATAAGCTTTGTTCAGTGATGGTTGGATTTCTGTATTATTTTAGTAACGAGAAATTAAATATCCTCCTACTTTTTTAAAACTTCCCTTCAAATAGTTGAAAATAAGCAACCATTAGCCCATATACAAGCATGTATCTTTTATATAATTGTACAACCATTTTACATAATTATACATTCCAATCGTCTAACAAAACAATGTATCTTTTATATAACTAGGTTAACCGCGCAATGCAACGGACGGCGAATAATTATAGCCCTCACAATACACAGGGAATTAAATGTTTAGTGGGCACAAGTTATGTTTATTTATGTAGTTATCTATATTAAAAAAATTTATATTTAAGTATTTTGAAATGTTAGACTATTTTTTTTCATTTTAATACTACATAAAAACATTTATCAATAAGAGTAATGTGGTGAAGAACACATGTAGTTTTTTTCGACGAACAATTTCATTTTGGCAAAGGGTGAATGGTATCGTTTTGAATGAATAGTTTTCTTCGTAGAATTATTTCATATGTTCTAGGACTTTCCTTTGGCATATTGGTTTCGTTTTGACAGACAACATATAGTTTTAGGTTAACTATACCCAACAAAAAACAATGAATCATACTGATTCTTAGGTTAAACAAAACAAAAATCCTTTTTAAATTTGGTTTTTTTGCACGTTACGATAATTTTCTTTTAGGGGACGATGAGAAATTTTTTTCTTTCGATGATCACTTTTGTATCAACTGTTAGGGTTTATGATGATAGTTTAGGTTTAGAACTTGGGTATAATGTTTATGGTTAAGATTTAGGGTTAGAGGTTCTAATTTTAGGGTGGAGGTGCACTTTGTCCGTTTGTCGCTTCTGTAAGAGATAACCAAACTACAAAATTAAGTTTGATGGTAACACCCATAAAATATCTATATTTCATTTATCAATTCCATATTTTGAGGGCATGAATAATTTGAAAAACATTTTATAAGTAGTTAAATATGTCTTTCGAAATATATGGAAATCAAATATAAGAACAATATAAACATAATGTCTTAATTTGTATTTTTTCCATTAATTCTTGTCATTTTGAAACTTGTTAAAATGTAATTATAAAAACACATAATCATATAATCTTATTCTTAATTTATTCTTGTCATTTACATTTTTAATAAATCAATTCAAAAGTTATATAGCAAAAACCATTTTTCTTAATTTTTCACATTTGAAAACTTATTTTTTTACCAAAATAAAAATGGCATTTAGTTTTTAATGTAATAACATTGCCAAACAAATTTATTAGCATTTGAAAAACAAAAATTAATAAAAGATTAAAGATATAATGAGTTATGAATAAATAAGTATCATTTATTTATTTTAAATGATACAAATACTCTGTCAAAAAACACATAAATAATACTCTGTCAAAAAACACATAGACATCAAGAGGTCTTTTCTTGATTTATTAACTCGATATATTCTATACAAAATATATAAATGATTTTTTCTTCTTTAATTTTCATTTCAACCCATAGCTATATCATGTTAGTTGTTAACTATAATGTCGCCTTGAAGTATGATGACAAAACTTCAAGAAAATGCATAAAAATTCCATGTATCTTGCGAAAAAATCTATGCCGCAAGAACATACAAAGAACAGACACGGATTGTAGATTAGTTTCTAACAAATACAATTCATTTAAAAGAACGAACATTAATAATAGCAGAAATATTTAAGTGTTGTTACAGAGAAAGTAAAGTATATCATCTATATTTACATGAAGAGCCAAGTATGTTGTTATTTTGTGCAAATTGCCCTAAATTGGATAATAAAATATGCAAAAATACATAATGTTTAACGACTTTTAGAACTTCCTCAAATGGCTTAAAAGTATAATGCTTTATGTGCTTTAATGCAAAGGGTAAACATAAAGATAAGGAAAAATTAAACATAAAAAAAAGCATCAATAAATTAAAATTAAAACTCTAAATAACATGATTTTTACAATCCTTACCATGTATTCATATACTATAGGTAGGATACATACTTCTCTCAAAAACAATTCTAACTAATACATTATACTTTCCAGATAGGATTGAGTTATGTATTTCAAGAAAATTACAAGAAATAGTCATGTACTTCAATTTCTAGAAACTATAACCATTTCATAAACAGTTTGCAACCATTACATACCTAGCTAATCTATAAACAATAAAAAATAATTATCCTGGCCTCTAAAACAGGAAAATCTATCCAACTATAGCAACGTACTTTCCTTGGTTTGTTTCTTATAACATCCTACTTTCATATATTTTTATCACACACTACACATACATACACAATAGTCACACACTACACACAGTGTATGTATATGTTAGTTGGATGTGGTATTTGTGTGATAAGAAGAAATGACAGTAGGATTTATATGAAACATAGGAAGGAGAATATGTTGCTTATGAAAATTAAATAAATAGATCAATTTTTATAAGTTTAACAAATTAACCATGTGCTCACCTTTTCTGAAAGCCTTTGTTTGCTCTTTGTTTCATACTAGCTTTTACTTACTCAGCAGTAGAATTTCAGGCAATGTAAATTCTTCGCTTTGGAACAACCTTAATAGCATATAGACATTAATTTGTAGAAAGATTGCATTTCTTGATTATAATGATACTGTTTTGGACCTGTAGCAAATAAAAACAATAACATTAAACTCGTATTTCTTCCTTTCCCCCTTTTTTTTTTTTTTACAAATAAGCCAAAATACACGTTACAAAGAGGTAACTCCCTAGGATTCAAGACCACTAAAGTACCATTAACGTGGCTTTTTGAATAGAAAAAAATAGCTTAAGGGACAACTTGTTTTATGTACTTCGAAAATCTATACAAAAATATATACTAATAAGAAATTGGAATACCATACAAAATTTTCCATATCTATTATGATTAGACGTTAAAACAACATATCAGATTATCAATTGGTTTATAAAGCAAATGACACTCTGATAGTAATGGTTAGCCTATTTAAAATACTTACACTATAAGAAAAACGCGATTTTGCTACGGAAGGAATCCGTTGCGAAAAGCTGAAATTCCGTTGCAAAAGACGAATAGCGACGGAATTTGCAACGACCTATTTCCGTCCCTAAAAACTCCGTAGCGAGGAGTTTGCAACGGAAACGATAATTTTGTCGCAATTGTGACAACGTAATGAAATCCATGGTAGATGGTATTCCGTTGTGTATGCCGTAGTAGGTTTCCGTCACAAATTTCGTGGTAGTTCTTCCGTCACAAATTCCGTTGTAGTTAATCCCTAGCAAAATCAGTGGTGATGAATCCCTAGCAAAATCTGTGGTGATGAATCCCTAGCAAATTCTATGGTCATGAATCCCTAGCAAATTCCGTTTGATCACTTCCTAGCAAATTTCATGGTCATGAATCCCTAGCAATTTTAGTGGTGTATATATTATATACCAGATTCAATATGGACTGATGGATAATTGATTTATAAATTATATCCAAATAATTTTGTAGTAATATATGAAAAACAAAAAAAAAACAAAAAAAATCATAACCATCATATCATAAAATAACAAAATAATTATTTATTACATTGAAAAAAGAAAGTTGCTACTCTAAAATACATAATTTTCAATAAACATATATCAACCTACTACTCTTGTTGTTTTGTAAAGCCATTAATAAGATCCAATGCCGTTTGAAGTTGTTTTTCAAGATGCCCGACCCTTGCTTTGTTTTCCTCTTGTTGGGCGTTCATCATTTCTTTAAGCTCTTCGTTTTGCTGTTGTTGTTTAGCAACAAGCTCCCTCATTTCTTCTATTTCATCATTTTTTCCGGAATGTAAGTTACATCCGTTTTACCATTCCTATTGGGAACCGCCCTTGCAAAAGAGCCTAATCAATAAAGTCTTTTTTTTATCATGACCACCTACAACAGCATAAAATAGCTTGTCCTCCTCAAATTCAACACCTTCAGCTTCCAACTCTTCCCGTTTTTCTGTATAGGCCGCCTACAAAATAAAATTATTATAAGTTAAAAGATATCAAATTTAGGAATGATATTATGGAGTAGCTACAATATAAAAGTTAATTTAAACTGAAATGAATATTACATGAATTTGTCTATCTTTTTCATTTGTGAAAGTGACTCCATCATGATTCTTAGTGTGTGTATACAGGAACAATTCACTATGGGGTGGCTCATGTCCTAATTTCCTCTTCTGCATAAATACCATATAAAAAGTCAAATATACAGATAAACATATGCAAACATTGATACGATGTACCATTTATTACCAAATAAGAAGTTATCTTCAAATGACATGCGGATCCAGCGTTATGTGTGGGTTTTGCTACTCCATCAGCCACACCGTTACGCCTATTCTTCTTGTTCTGCTCAGATTTTAGCTTGTATTCCATTTTAATTGCCAGGAGTTCCAGACTTCCTGTGGAATATGAGCTGGTTTAAAGCCATGTTTGTTTCTTTTTGGGCTCCTCATGTTGAAGAGATATTGACCATAACTTTGTGCCGCTTTCCTTGCCCAAGCTTGCCTCACCAGCGAGTCTATTGTCTCATCCCAACAATATTTTTTCTACACATTAACAATATAAACATAAATTGAAGTGTAAATGTTTACCAACAATTTATGACTTATAGTTACCTGAAACTCCTCCCAATATAATTCGTGCAGTTCTTTGCTTACTTGTGCCCAAGCGTACCCTTCTGGATCTACTCTTTGTTTAAAGGACTGACTAATAACGTGTACACAAGGGCCTGGTAGCATTAGCCTGCAAGTAATCATGTGATGTGTTAAGTTATGAATTGATATGTAGGTGTAAACCAAAATTTAATACATAAAAAAAAGTTGTAATTAAGATTTGAATTGGTAACTCACGTATTTTTCACCTTCTACACTTTCCACTACAGATCCATTCATGGGTGGTTGTGTTGGTGATGGGGTAGATTCTGGGATAGGTGTTCTTGATGGGGTATATTTTGGGGTAGGTGTTGGGATAGATGTATATGTTGAGGATGTGGT